TTCAGAATAGGAATATGAATCACTAAGTTGTTCTGGAAAGTCATTCTCCAAAGATCATTAACCACAACTCTATCTATCATTTCTCTAATGTCTCCCTTATGCTAGGTGAAGGCGTTTTCTTTAAACCCCAAATCCTACAAATCACAAGCATTAAAACAATATGCAAATTGGTTCATTAGGGAAAAATTAGCAAGTATGTCCCTAAATTTTTCCTTTTCAAATAAAATGAAATTAAAATCCTCAGCAACACACTAAAGATCATTAATAGTTAAACTGAACTCAACTAGTAATTTCCAGACTTTAGCTTTATAATTTTCTTGAGGGCTGGAAAAAATAGATGAGGGGATCCAAGCTCTTTGCCCATTACTAATTCTAAGATGGATTATGTATTTATTCTTATGTATAATAGAGACTTGAAATTTTTTGAAATTCTAACAACATCAGATTCCTCCAGAGAATCTTACAACATCAACTCTAACAATTTCATCAAAATTAAATCTTTTAATAACCATCATAGTGTTATTAGCCCTTGGTTCAAAAATAAAGATGAAGAAGTGATAAATTTTGGTGAGGTCATTTATAAGTTTTGGAAAGGTTTTGCCTTCAACACCTTCCAAAACAAATAGTTCATTAAAACAATGGCCAAGGATGAGAAGCATCATAATGATGCTCACCAAATCCTATCCTAATAGGCCTATGCTTAGTGTGGGGTTAGGGTCTTTAGAACAATTTTATCCACCTCCATTAATAAAGGTAGATTTGGGGGTTTCTCTAAGGGAGTTTGGAGAGATTCTTTCTGAATCTATCATAGGGTATCAGGATTAAGACCCATAAGGTCAAGGATATTATGGCTCCCTTTGCATTTCTCTTGTATACTTTTTTGGAAATTAGATATAAGTCTCAAGGTCTCCATATTATCTTATTTTAAGCTATTTTCATTTTCATCCTAAGTATTATTTATCCTGTTAAGGTTATGTACCCTTATAGAAATGTCTTTTTCTTTCCTTGGTCTTGGCATTTTGTTGATAGTCTTGGTTTAGACAATTTCTTACCATTTTCACTTACTTTGGTGCTATTTTGAATTTTCCTATCTAGGTTATTCTTAAAGCCCTTATGGCTAACCTTACTATCCATATTTGGTTCTAGGATCTTCCACTTTGCAAATTCTACTTCTTGGTCAACTTCCTTATCTGAATCACCTAAGATATCAAACCTTGACTCATTTGGGTGATCTTTTGGTTTTTCAAGCTTTGCGAGGGATCTAGGGATATAAGGGTAATTGAATTTTTTCCTAATAAGTTTCTTAATTAGCATCCAAGGTTCAAAGGGGTCATCCATATACTTTGCTTCCTGACTATTATTAATCCCATTACTATCCTTTCTAGCATTAGTGCTATCTTTTTTACCTTCCTCACTTTTCCTCTTATCATTTGGGTGAGATCTCTCCATCTCCATCTCCATGTGGTTATTATCTTGAAAGGGGCCACTGATCCTGCCTATGCCCATACTTTCCACATTCGAAATAGATGAGGTGTAATCCCTCATATTTCACTCTAAAAACTTGTCTAAGGACTTTGAAAGCTGGTATAAGTTTCCTTCTAAGGTTAATCTTGACACAAATTCTAGCAAATTTTGTTTTAGACTGAAGAGATGTATACGAGTATATTTTCAGCATGGACCGGAGGCAAGAACCTACATGCCAAAGAAATTTAATGTTGTAAGGTTCTAAGGGTAAGTCTGAGATTCGAACCCAAAATGCTACTTTCCTAAGACTAAAATCCTTAATTCTAAACAGATGTCTCCATCTCTGTGCGAGGAAGTAATGGTCAAGAATCATTCAAGGCCTTTCAAACAGAGCTAGTTTATAGTCCTCTGGCTTCTGAAATTTTATTAAAAAAAAACTCATTGTTCAAATCAAGAATTTCTAAAGACCCATTTTCGCTCCACAAATTATTTAGTCTTTGGTCTATATAGTTAAAACTTATCGACTTACCTAACAGTTTGACTATAATGTTGAACTTCCAAGGCAACCACCAAACTTCATAGTCTTGAAGGGGTATTTTCAATTCAGGACAGAGATTAAGTTTATTTGATATTGTTCCTACAATTTTTTTCAGATTCAACGGGTAGGTTAAAGTCTTCAAGCACATATTTTATTATCTCTTCATCATTAAGAATTAGATCTAGATCATTGGACCCTAAGACTTTATTTTTTTAGGAAACAAATTTAACAAGAACAGGGTTTGAATACACTTGGTATGGCATCTCGCCTATTGTACGTTGACCTTCCTATGTGTCTTCCTTTTACTCCTTTTCTGACTCCTTAGGGTTTATTTTCCCCTTTTTCATGTTCCAATCTACCAGATCTGATTCATCATTATTCCTCTGTTCACCCTCTTATTGCTCCAACCATTTGTTCCTCTGCTGGGTCAGATCTACAAAGTGTTGCTCTTCTTGCATGTTATGGGAGAGTCCTTCCATATCGATCCCTAGACCTATTTTCACTTTCTTCGTACTCTGATTCATTTGGTCAAGCTCCTCTGTGGAACTCTTCTCTACTTCGTGACAATCCATGTCAAGGAAAACTTTGGGTATGGATTGAGAGCAAGAGATTCTCAGTCTTGGTGAGCTTGGGCTCTTCGCAGGATGAGTGAGCCTTGAGCAATTTCTCATATGGCTAGGATGAAGAACCCTAGTAGCGCTGTCCTCCCCTTCTTTCTTGAAATGAGAAGTAAGTCTGGGAGCAGAATTTTTTATTTTTGAAATATTATGACTTTTTTTTATATTTATCTATAGTTTAAACTTTACCTTTTTTTATCTTCTATTAGATAATAAAATGTCACTAATTAGTTAGTGACAAGTTTAAAAGATATATAAATATAAGAATTATTAATCTTAATTGCCAAGATATTTTACATAAATAAGCCATTCAAGCTGAAAGCTAACTCTCTCCCCAACTTTTTTGGACGTGACTATACTTAAATTGTAATATGGTACTAGAGTTTGGTTTTTAAAAAAATTAAAGCTAGAAAACAATGGCAAAAAAAGTAAAAGGTAAAAAAAGAAAAGGTAATTCAAACAAAAAAAATAAAATAAATGTGCCACAAAAATAGACTTGTAACATTGAAAAGAAAAGAAAAAACGCTAAAAAAAAAAATAGTACAATTCAAAGCTATAAAAAAGAGAAAGAGAAAGCAGAAAACATAACATGATCTAAATAGAAGCCCAAATTAAAAGTATCATGCATAGACTAAAGATTACATACGCATGTACAATGACCTACAAAAAAGTCCAAACTGAAAAGTATCAAGTATAGGTTAAAGGTTACACACAAACATTTAGAAACCTGCATCACTTAATAATTTTTTTATAGACGCAAGATTGATCAATTAAATTGTTAGTTTATAATTTTATAAAATTTTATACAAAAATAAAATTAATAGGTATTTTATTAGAAGTCTAAACTTAAAAGTACCAAACATAGATAAAAGATTACACACATAGACCTAAATAGAAACTCAAACTTAAAAGTATTAAAGCACAGGCTAAATGTTACACATACATTATGTGTTGAATTTAGACACCTCTACCACTTAATAACTTTTTATATAATGTAAGATTAATCAATTTAATTATTAGTTTAAAATTTTATAAAATTTTTACCAATAAATAAATAAATTAATAGATACTTCATTTCATTATTTTATTTTAATAGCTAATATGTTTTTAAAATATAAAAAATATCAATTTTTAGATAAAATACCTATAAATATCTAAATTATATAAATATAAATGATTAAAGAAATAATATAAAATGATTTAAAGACCAGAGATTTAAATATCTAACTTTGATACTTAATGTTAAGATTTCTCTTTCATGTGTTGTTTAGAAAAAAAATAACACTTATAATTTCTAATGATAGAAATTTATATATTTTGTTTAGGTAAATTTTTGGAGAAATTCTTATAGAAGAAAAACATTAGTATAAAACATAAATAAAATTTATTTCATAAGTGAAAAATAATTTATCTTTTCAAATTTTAAAGAAATTATATGAGAGAACTTCTAAAACTTTTCAAAAAAATGAAAAAATATAAGTTGTTTAAAACTTATGAGAAAAGTTTAATTAATTTTTTATACTATTTTTTTCTTTTGTAAATATTTATTTTTCAAGTTTATCCAAACTAGGCCCTAGTCAATAATAAATAAATAACACAATCCCTCTCCAAAAAGGAAAAACAAGAGGATTTGCACCAAATACTTGTATAATTAATAAGTGTCTTGATGACATTTGTAATTAGAAAGTCATTTGGAGTGAATTACTACTTTCTCTTGCAACAGGATTGAGTTCTCTATCTTAACTTTGTAGATCTGAGGTGGATTCCTAATGTGCGCGCGTTAAGTTCTATTATTCTTGTTACTTAATTCAAACCATTTTGTACCATCCGATCCGCATTATTTTCTGTCAAACGCTGTGTCCTCATGCCATAATAGGACTTTGGAACATACTATCTAACATCAAACAAACTAGAAAAGGAAGATAACATATAACCATTAATTGCTTGGGAGAATCATATTTCGAAACCAACAAATTGATAACTTCTTACACATATATAATACCCAAAACAACAATTTCAAATAATAGCCGAATGATTACAAAGGCATAATTGGTTTTCTATATACCGTAGGTATAATAATAATAATAATCAAATGGAAAAGAAAGGAAGACAAAGAGGAAGATTACAAGCCCATCTGCTTAAAGCAGAAAAGTACAAGCAAAATTAACATAAAAGTTCATATGATAGCGTCCCATTATTGAAATGACATAACTTTAAATATAGAATTTAATTTTGATGCAGTATTGTCAGTGAAAAGAATATCCATACTGTATCAAAGTTAAATTCTTATACATAATTAATCACCTTTAAATCGAAGGTGGAAGAAAAGCAAGGTATGAAATAAAAGTAACGTTTCGCTGATCTTCCAATCGGGATGCTATTCAAAAGAACGCTCGAGTGTTGAATGTTGGTGACTTCTGCGGCTCAATTCCTAACCTAAGCTCAAGGTCTAAATCAGCTTTCTTCTCTTCAATCCTCTGCCCCAAAACAAATGAAGGAATATGAGGAATTTCTAACATGGCCCTTTGGTGTGCATGATCATCTTTGTTAGGAAAAGTGAAAGGCTTTTTATGATTCCTAGCATGCTTCTCTTCACCAGAATCCAAACCAAACAAAATTTTCTCTTCCAAATTAACAGGGTCATTATGATCAATAGTGGTCTTGATTGAGATGTCCAAGGAAAGCAAGTTTTCTTCACAAGACTGCTTCAACTTGGCTCTATCTCTTCTATGAATATTCATGTGGCCTCCTAGTGCTTGTGCATTTGAGAACCCTCTTTTGCAAAAGTTACAAGAATAAGATTTAACTTGTCCATGACCACCTTGATCATCTGAATTCCACCTTATCTCAGATTTGTTAGAGTTTTGGGTATTGAAGTCCATCTTTTTTTGGCAAGTAAAGGGGAAATAGAAATAAGACATAAAGTTCACAAAGAGAAAATAAAGTGATCTATGAAACTGGGGTCAACACATTGGCTGAAACAAACTTTATAATCACATTGGAAAACTATAGAAGACCCTAAAGCTGAGTAATATAGTTTACAAGATAGCATGTATACTTTTCAAAAGGGTATGAGAAGACCCTAAAGCTAATTGAATATAATATTAATTGGCTGCATCTGTTTTACTCATTCAATTATTCTACTAGACATCTTCCTTTTAGATTGCCTTGAGAGGATAAATAAGAATTAATATGATTCTTATGTTGTGCTCTTTTAGACTAGGTGAAAAGCTAAAAAAATTTTTCCTTGAGGTTAAAGGTTAATTCAGGCTTATGCTCATTGTATTAGCGTATGTGTCGCACGCAAATACAATAATTGTGCCTTCAGATATTTTTTTTTGGACAATGTGTGTTATATATTTGAGAAATTTTTTGGTCCATTTGTAAAGATATTAAACTCTTTATTAACAATAAGGGGATATATATCCATTATAAATTCTGAAACGGAACGGGTATTTAATTTGGACATATGAATATATTTCTTTTTCCACTGCTTGGATAAAATTTAACCACTTTCTTTATTACAGAAGTTAGAAATTTTATATTATGTGGTTTGTTCGTATGGAGTTAGAGTCTCTTTTAATCAAATAGATTAGGTGATTATTTGATCTTGTTATCTTTCATGCATTTTTCTTATTAACTAAAATTACAACTTGGTACTGATGAGTCTATCGTTGCTTCATGTAAAATCGAAAGTATAGTGATATGACGATAGTGATGGCATTTCAGAAATATTAAATCACATTTAACTTTCAACCAACCATATAAGTCGCTGAATGAGATGTGCTAGTATATTTTTAAAAATGTATAGGCCAAACTATGGTACTTACCGAATAAGAAACTTGAAAAACTTGTTTCGACAAAATTAAAAGGATAAATCGAAATATTGGGTTCAAAGGGACTTACAAGTAACAAATCAAACTCCTGTTTGACATTTAGTGATACAAATAATATAATTTCAAAGATACACAAACATTTTTTACAACTAACAAAAGGTTGAGAAGGGGTTATTTAAAACTTGTTACTTTGTAATTAGATTTAAAACAATATATTGGAGATAGGAATCCAATAAAATCTTATTTGGTAGCAAAGGGTTTACTAAAAGGAAAAAAAAAAAAGATTGGATAAAATTTCTTTTTATCTCTCATTTCAGTATACGAAAAATATACAAATTTGTTTTACAAATATAATTTTTCTATGAATAGTATCTCTCATTCTCGTTGGGGTCCTATTCTAACACAATTCAAATAAGCTGAAAAGCGACAGTTCTGCACATGAGCATTTCTGCAACTGTATCATTGGTAATAGGGATGTGCTTAAAAAAGGAGATGTCACGGTGAGTTTGTTTTTAAGGAAATAAAAACTAAAAAAGATTGGAATTGCAAGGGATGTAATTCATCAACGAGGAGTGTTAGGAATACTATAAACAAATTTTAATTAATTTTATACTATTTAATAAAATTATTTTAAACTTTTTTATTAATTTAAATATTATTTTAATGCATTATTTTATTCTTGAGATAAGACAACAATAATTATATATAATAGTTAAGATAAAAATAATAATTTACTTGAAATAATTATCATTATTATTTTTCACTTTTAACATTCATATTTAGCATAGAAACCTAAATCTTCAACTAATATTATTTAATGCTAATAAAAATTTAAGTTATCCTTAAATTGTTTATTTTTTTGTACAATAAATATTGTGAAGAATATATTAAGAAATGAAATTTATTATTTTTTAGATAAAATTAAGAACACTAAATAAGATTAACTCAAAATTTAGTAAGTGTAATTAGTTTTTTTTCATTATATTTGAAATTCTAACACATTCATTTTAAAACATTTCTAGTTATGTGTTAAAATTTACAATAAATTAGAATTTAAAAAAAAGTAAAATTTACATGATTGTTATATTTTTTTGATAAATTTTAATTAATAATTAAAACTTATTGCTAGCATTTTTCATTTATCATATTATTGCATCTTATTTTGTTTTATTTGAGTGAAATATAACATCATAATGATTTAATTTAGATTTAAATAATGTTGTAGCTCTTATACTTGACTCAGATTTACAAATTAATCCTTATATATACATTTAATTTAGTCTCTGTCGTTAAGTTTAAAATAAATGATGTTAAAAAAATAAGGAACTAAATTGAGATAAATATAGTATGGGAACTAATTTATAAATTTTTAATATATATGGACTAACTTACAAAATTTTACATATAAGAATTAACTTACAAATCTGAGTAAAAAATATTTTTATAAATTTATGATATACTTTTAGTTTGTATTTTGATTTTGCGATTTACTCACTCTCTCTTTCCCTTTCATCTCTAATTTCACTATCTTTATTCTTCTTTTTTCTTTGCATAAACTTCAATAAAGGCTAAAGTCATATCTCTTTCTCTAAGCTTTTCATCTCAAAACTCAATCAAATCTTAATAATCTTTATTGAATTTTTTTTTCTTCTCAACCACTTCACCATCTTTACTCACACCCACATCCACACTCACCTACTCCAAACCTCAATCCCTCATCAAAACATTCTCTGTCATCGAATGCACCCTCATTAGTGTTGCTAGCAATAGAATAATTGTCAATGTATTTATTTACGTCTTTATTCACTCCCTCAAGACCATCAAAATCAAGATACAAACCAAAAGTATATCGTAAATTTACAAAAATATTTTTGACTCAGATTTGTAAGTTAATCTTTATATGTAAATTTTTTTAAGTTAGTCCCTATATAAAAAAAATTTATAAACTAGTCCTCATACTATATTTATTTTAAATTTAGTCCTTTACTTATTTAACGCTATTTACTTTACGTTAAGGTTTAGAGTTTACTTTACTTTAAATTTAATCCTTTACTTTACTTATTTAACGCTGTTTAACGCTATTTACTTTACTTAATTAAATAAAAAATAAATGTATATATAAAAATTGATTTACAAATTTTTTACATGTAAAAATTAAATCACAAATATGAGTCAAGTATAGGGATTAAAATATTATTTAAATCTTTAATTTATTTTAGTAAGTCAAAGAATGAATCCACATGATTTAATTTTGTACTATTTATTTTCTTAAAACTTTCATTTTATAACTAAAAATTAATGAATAATTTTACATGAAGATCAAAAGAATATATTATAAAAATTGTATATTTTTTAGTTAAATTTATTTTTTAAATTATTTAAAAATTATATTATTTATTTATTTTTATCTTTTTTATTTTTCTTCCTTTCAATTTCTATTCATCAAAATAATACATGCATCATTTCTACTTTATCTTTTTAATTTCTATTTACATTTTTCTTATTTCATTCTCCATATTTTAGTTCACATTCAAACAAAGAATTAAATAACAAAGTTTTATATTGGTAGCTTAACAAATTTAAGAGTATATAAGAGAACAACGACTAATCAATATTTTTTTAGATGAGTTCACGGCTCAAATTTAAGCTCGTTTTCTTTTGCATTAGTTTGTATTAAAACTTTTAATGTAGTATTAAAGTATGATTAAAAATAAAATAAATTTGTGGCATCTATCTAAAAAAGTCAAGTAAATGAGTAAAATTTCATGCAATAAAATGTAAATTCAAGAAAATGAGCACAAATTCAAGCAATAAAAGGTCAAAATACATGAGTCTAAACAGCCAAGATTCTTAAGACATTCCTCAACCTTAAACTCAGTCTGACCCATATTCTTATATTAGATCTGCACTCAATATTCTCATGGAGCGTAAAGTGAAATAAATTATAATTCAATATTAAATAATTCTTAAAGAAAATGAAAACGAGCTTTTACACCATATCAATTAATTTCTTAACAAATAGTTTAATTAACCGGTTTTTTAAATTCAATTTTTTATGATATTCGTTTCGAAGTTCAAATTTAAATTGATGCAAAATATTTTTTCTAATAAGATTTGGTTCAAAAAATATTTTTAAATAAAAGTTTGGTTTTGAATTAAAATCTGATTTTGACCGTAAACTGATTAGCTAAAAACCAGACATATTTTAGAAAGAAAACTATTTTTTTAAAATTAACTTCGTATATTTAACTTTAATTTGAAATTAGTTTGGTTTTGTACAAACCCAAACTATATACACCCGTAAAGACCAAACCCAAACAATCGCTTTTAACCCTCCTACTAAGTTACACAATACTTTGTTTCTCGAATATAGTCTGCCATTTAATTCTCTTCCTCTCATATCACATTCAAATTTGTGAAATACAGGAACACATTATTAAGTTAACTAAGAAAACAAGTGCTCATTATTTGGTCAGAAGTACAACATTTATATAAATGAGTTAGACTGAAAATTACGATAGGAATCGTGATCGGAAGAGAGGATAAAATAAATAAGAAAAATCAAATTTTAATTTTTTTTCTTTATTTAAACCACAAGTATCTTTCATGGGAAGAAATTTTATAAGAGACGGGTAAAATTATTATATTACAAACCTCATCAAAACTTTAAAATGAATATGAAAAAGAAAAGAAAAGAATAAGATAATAAAACAAGAAAACATCTTAAAGGTTATATGATAGGAGAGAGCTCACTTCGAGGTGAGGAAGTAGGAGTGATCCCTCTCTTCTCTTTGCTAGCTTTATATTAATTAAGATAATAACTCTTGCATTCAATAAAGAAAGAGACGGTATATAAATAAGAATTCTACCTGCTAAATGAGTAGGGTTCAATAATTACTTGCTAAGGTATAATGTAGATAAAAATAATAATAATAATAAAAATAGCTAGTATTATTATTATTTTTTAATCAAAATTAGAGTTTCACCTAAATAATATACATATTAAGGCTGATATTAAAAGTTATTACATTACCATATTAAAAGCTGACATACTTAAGTTTTGTCATATAATTATAGGGATGGGTAGTGTAGTAGTCAATTTGTCTTTTATCTTTTTCACACTTATATAAATATAAGAACCGTATTTATATTATCGAATTTTTTTACTTGTACAATTGTATTAATTAAAAATTTGTGTGTAGATAGATTAGATAAAGGGATTTCCCGTGAAATTTCTATTGAAGGATGAGAAGTATCCGTTATGTAGTAGGCTTGACGACGACTACCATGGTCAGAATTAATTCAAAGGGGAGTTGGAGTTCATACTTTATAATTCTGGGGGCTTGTCATTAATGTACTGTGTATGCCTAATTCATGAATACAGAAGATACAAAAATTGCGTTGTTAGCTCCAATGAGTCTTGTTGAGATAATATTCCCCTTGTGAATATAAAAAAGAAAAGCATACTATAATGGTCAATTTTTTAAATGGATTGATTCCAAAGTAGGTGGCAATTTTTGGAGGGATTTAGAAGAGAGAGTGCAAGGGGGAAGAGAAAAAAAGGTGAGACAGAGAGTGCAAACAAATGGTTTTATGCGTAAGGGATGCTAACTGCAACAAATCTGGTGGTGATGACAATAATACAAAAGAAAAGGGAATCAATGTTGGGATGTATCTGACTTTATATGGCTTTGAAAAACTCAATAAGTTTTAAATATGGGTAACTTTAGTTATCTGTCTGAACGAATGTCAGTGAGGTAATGAATAGGAAAACGGGCTCACCTCACTATATTCCATGCAGTACTTAGTAAGATCCTTCACCCCTTAAACCACACATGCATGCACTGGTCTCAATACTTCAAATAAAAATTTCATATTCACAACGATCCATTCTTTTACGATACATATTTCTTCTTCCAGGAAATCTATACAACTTTGGATAGAAACAAGGGACCCACTTAATCAACTAAAGTAACGTCCGTCAATGGTTTATATGCTTCATGGAAGGCATCTATTTCTAGAACATATACAACAAAATTCCCATACACAATACAATAATTCTTTTAAAGATTGTGCATTTCTTACGTATTCTCAAAGTTGAGACTTCAAGTACAGTTATCCCCACATGCAGAATAATGAACTACTGAACTAGCTAGACTACAAGACCATTTCATGTTCCCCGTTCGTTTTGAGCTTAGATTAGATAAATTTTTTAATAAGTATGGATAAAAGAAAACATTAAATGTTAAAATAAGTTAAACTTCTTTCAACAATTAAAATTAAGTTATATATGTCAATAATTGAAAACAAAATTAAATGAGTAAATTTCTAAGCGTGATTATAAGTTATTAAGAAGTTTATTCAACTTTGAACCTTTAAAACCGGTGTGCGTAAGTTCCTTTAAGTAATAATGTAAACAGAATTCGATCTGTGTGACTAGATATTTGGCACACCAAAAAAGATATTTTACTAGGCATAAGTACAAAGAAAAGAAATCAAATTACGTGATGCAATGTGAGCTATAATAAGCGAGGTGAGTTAAAATTTCTCCGATGACAATAATACATTTTGTAGAATATCAAAACAAAGAATCTAGCCACCGACTATATGCATTTTATGCTTTTACATGATTCTTGTAAAAATCGACGGAATCATCAATAACAAGGTCACGTATTTTATTTCTCAAAACAATTCACCATTTGGCCACTATGAAGTGCCTATGTGTGATTGCAATATTGTAATTCACATATCCACTCAAACTTGAAAAGCTTCCTTACAAGGTATTAAAAAGAAGCAATTAAACAAGCAACAAGAATGAAATCATAGTGTGTAAAATTGCATGTATTTATAAACAAATTGTGTTCTATATATGCTACTATACCTTGGGCCTGTAACCAAGCCTTAGCTCCAGATCTATCCCTTCTATGGAACTAGGGCTATATTCAAACATCTGTGACTGCATATGATGCCTATCAACGGAACATGACCGTGGGAAGAATGGAATGGATGAAGAATCTCCTTTCCTCTTCTTGAAACTTGCATCACTCTCTTTAGTCTCAAATTGCACAGGCGGGTGAGCTCGACACACAAACAAGTTCAAACTCACAGCTACCTCAGATTTATCATTATCTCTTTCACTTCTACACCCAGAATCCAACCCCTTCGAAAATTTCTCAACACCAGCTTCACTGTCAAACTTACGTGAATAAAATCTAGAGTCTTCATTTAAGTTTGACAAGGATTTAGAAGTCTGATCATGGCTTCCATGGAAACAAGAAGAATTACTATGAAGTGGAATCAGGGGTTTCTCTGTACATCTCTTGTTAACCGAGGTAGCTAAAACCTTGGAAGGTGAAGCAAGAACATCAGAAGGACCAGAATTAGGGTTAGTGTTATTACAAACCAACCCACTAAGAGAAGATGGATACAAATAACCCAAAGAAGTAAAAGAATTTTGTACTGGATTTTGGGGATGAGTTTTTTCAAGATCTCGACTCAGAGTTTCATTTTGAGGGCTACAAGGTTGCTTCAGTCTTGCTCTATCTCTTCTATGAACATTCATATGGCCTCCTAAAGCCTGTGCTGACCTGAATTCCCTTCTGCAAAAGCTACAAGAATATGATCTTGGTGGCCATATGCAACAAGACCCAGCTGCATCTTTTGCAAAGGCTTGCTCTTCCCATGAATAGTCATCATTGGAAGAGGGGTACTTAGCTGGGGAATCAAGAGTAGAGTTCATAGAGTACTTCCTCTTAGTCCACATCCAACATTGACCCTTCTCCATTATGATGAAGAATGGAGAGTGAGTTCCTAATTCTGGAAATGAAAGGAACAAGAGAAGGGGAATTATAAGATGGTTGCTGAAGTGATCCCTATATGTAAGATGAGAATTGAAAGCTACATGATGTCTATTATGGAAGTATCTTTAGATCAATGGCTTAGGGAAGAGATCGAGCGTGTGCAAGGTGTAGTGGTTGGTACTCTACCTTGACTGTCTTTTAGTATAGCTATTTTTCTTCTTTTTTTGGGGGTGTTTTTCTCTGATTGGCTTCCAACACAGTCAATCAGAAATGAGCATGAATATATACTCCAAGTTCCTGTTTTTCCTGCATTTTATTTGTGAGGGGAAGCAATGCAGCAACGGCTTAGAAAATTACTAATGTGGGTCCTCAAATGTCTTCTAGTACAGACTCAAGACGAAATCTGACTGAAATATCCCCACAGATCCCCCAAAGTCTTGCCATTTGGTTTTCTTTGTCCAGAAAACGTACAAGGGTCTTCGGGTGTCCAATAATTATTATTACTATTTTAATGATTAAAATTTATTAATATCAATATTTAGGATTCAGTTTAAATAATTAATAAATAATAATTTTTTATAAAAATTTAAAATTATTATTATTATTATTATTATTATTATTATTATTATTATATCTTAAGCATTTCCTCGCATTTTCAATGTTGAATGACAGCTTTTATATCAGAACTATTTTGACTTGTTTCGAAATAATTATACATTGTGAAACAAAAATTATTGACATGAAATTAAACAAGATGATTTAATGCAATAGACAAGCTACTGTATATTCCTTTCAGTTTTTCTTATAAGATATAAACAATTAATTAATCAAGATTAACAAAAAAGTATATACCTATAGTAAATTTACAATATATTTTAAAATATTAATAATAATAAATAGTTAAATTGACAATTCATACATTAAATGAATATATGTATATAATAAATAATTTTTTTGTTAACACAATTTTATAATATATATATATATATATAAACAAATTTTTATTTTTATAATTTAAACCAAAATTGGAGCAATAGTTGTTAATTACTGAGACGAATATTGAACCCAAAATTCTTTTGTTTGAATAATTAAAAAATAATGTTATATTTTTTCACTTTTTTTTTATCTATATCTCAAAACTATTCCTTAAATAAAACAAAGGAAATAACAAAAGTTTTCACTAATAATAATTGTATACAAAACATTTTCCCTAGTTAAATAATGACTTAAATGGTTTTATTATGGAAGGGTCTGTTTGGCGAACATCTGCATATAACGAAATGGGTAATTAAATATTTCACGTTCATTTAGGCTTTTACATTACACCTTCAATGAGTTAATGTGTTCACTCAAGTATGTTTGGGAGAGAAGAGAAGAGAGAATATACAGTTTTAATTTTAAATTAAAATAATTATATTAGTTTTATGATAATGAATGTATAATTAATATATTAATTTATATATTTTAAAATAAATATTAATTTTAAATATATTTATTTAAAAAATAATTTTTTTCTGAAAAATTTATATTTTAAATAAATAAATATTAAAATTAATAATTTTTTAAAATAAAAATTATAAATTATATATTAACATAAACTAAACTTAATGTATTAATAATGTATTTATCATCATAAATGATATATAATTATTTTAATTTAAAATTAAAAAACATGTTCTTACATTCCTTCACCTCCAAGAACTTTTCAAACATACTCTAAAAAGATCAAATTTGTATTCTAATCTTTACGAAAATTAATACGAATTTACTACTTAATGGACAAAATGTCGACAACCCACTTTCATGAGGGATAGGTAATAACTAGAAAACATTACAATAAGATTATCTATGTTTGGTACTAATTTCTTAGCATCGCATCCCCTCCCCTACTACTGAGTGATGCAATGGCTATAAATTTGTTCTCTTTGAACTTTTCATTGAGGAAAGTCATAAAAAGATTCCAATTGGATTGTAGTTCTTGTATTCCATGTGCCGCCCAACGGACGTAATGCTTTATTCAGTGACCCTTTGTTGATGTACTCAAAAGAAGAATCAAAGAACTGAAGAAAAGTAGAGTCTTTACCCTTTAGTCATCTGCAAATTGAGGGGTTCTATTAAATAGCAAATGAGTCTGAGTGAGGCAAAATTGACTCGTTCCTTATGACTACCTTTTACATATTTCTTTTTCTATTCCCCTGGTCAAAAGCTCTATCACTCTATCTCACCCACAGCCTTATCGTTTTCTTTCCAAGTGAACAATCTAGTACAACGATGATTATAGTCATGCTCAAACTACAAAGTTAATGATCTTTTTGTCTTCCAAATTTTGTATCAATTATTATCTTGCAATTATTTCAATGTCCGCATCACTTTTAACAAGAGACAATTATTGCATGTTTAGTTTTCACCGATATTGGCTTCCCACTTTATGTCAACCCGATTTATTTATTTTGAGAAGGGAAGAGAAATAAAAAAAAGTAAAATACTATATAAGATGTGATAAAAGTGAAAGAAATGTAAAAGAAAGCGAATAAAAAAATTAAATTATTTTTTCTACAATTTACTAAATAGGATTCAAAGTCTAGTTTGTTTCTAACAAAAGGTTCAAGTCTAATTTACTTCTGAATTCTAGTTACTCTAAATGAACCAATAATGTTTTGGTTAATTTTCTTATTTGACGCATATTGAGCTAATGGTGGTGGGGGATAACATGGACCAGTTCAAAACTGGTCCCATCATGGTGACATGATTTTGAAGCCGTTAGATACATATAATATTTTAAGTGAATGGTTTAGATTTATCATTATTAACCGATAAAGCAAGTTAAGTTCATGAAATACAAAAATTTGCAATCTAATCCAGTACCTATATTTCTCCACCATACACTTTCCCTTCGTCGTAACGAGTAATGACCCGACAAATAGAAGCCCCGACATGCATGGCTGAGAAGAAAACATGTTGAAGGAGGGGTGGAGGAGGTACTATGCAACAATCGTCTCTTTTTTTTTCTTTTTTTTTTTTCTGAAAGTACTATGCAACAAATTTTTAAAACTTGTCTTACACATGATATAATTTACTGGATAATGATTTTCAGACAAAACTGAGGTATAATTTTTTAAGTGTTATTATTGTTGTTTATTAATTAAAATTAAACTTTTACTTCTACAATCTATAATAACATTAAATATAAATAACGCAAGACAAGATGCATAACCTATATACTGTTTATACTTTTAGATTATTTTAATAATCTTATTATAGTGGCCTATGTAACTTATAATATGACTCTAATTAATGATTTAATGTGATGGTGATTAAATATAAAATATAGAGTCATTGAGGGTATAATTGTAAATACAATTATAAGGAAACTCTTCCCTCTCCCTTCATATAAATAAAAGAGCGGTTACCAAAGAAAGGTTACGACATTCTCTATTCTCACTTTCACAGTCTCTGAGTGAGCTCACGATAAACGCAAGAAATGAACTTTCTCTCAACCATCCGATAGGAGCTGAAAGAAGAAAGAAGAGTTGAGAAAATACCAAGGCATCAACGACATCAAAAAGAGAGATAACATCTAGAAACAATAGATTCTGGTTAGTGCTCTCTAAATCCTTAATCATATGAGAATCATGTATTGTGTTGTGAGAACAACGTAATTCAAGATCTAATAGGAAATAGTAATTTCATAATAGTCATTGCATAATGAAAATTACATAATGGATTAAAGAAAATTCTAACAGTTGGTATTAGAGCTAAGTTGTGAATTTCGTTGATTCTCCATAAGAGATTGGTTCTCCATTAAAGTTTTTCCCAAATTACATGAACCCTAAATATACTATATGATGGATTGACATAATTTCTCAAAGGTGGATCATTGCATATGATTAATGACATTAAGGAGATATGTAAGCACTTCATAATATGTTTGTATATCCAAATATGACTTGCATATTGGTTTGAGTGACTGGTTGTCAATTAAAGTTGTTTATTAGCATCATTATAGATAAATTGTGTATTTAAGCCTTACCCAAAAGTAAACTTAGATGCATAATTGATGACAATTGACTGTCCGAATCCATTAAGTTTATTCAAAGCATAAATGTTTAAGCATGTGTTAAATATTTCAGTCTCTATGAATACGTATGGCATGAGCAATAGCGTAGTTAAGTTCAATGGGCTTAATTATGATGATTGAGCTGAACAAGTTCTATTTCAGCTAGGTGTTATGGACTTAGACCTAGCAATCATTATGGAACAAGAGCCTGCAGCTATTACAAAGACCAGTACTGAAGAGGAAAAGACTCTTCGTGAGGCTTGGGAAAGGTCGAATAGGCTGAGCTTGAGCTTGCTGAAGATGACTATGACTAAAAATGTGAAGCCAGTAATGTCAAAGACTGAAAACGTTAGGAAATTTATGGCAAAGGTAAAATAGTATGCACAATCGGACATTATTGACAAGTCCATTACAGGCATCCTGTTGACTGAGCTAACTACTAAGAAGTTTAATTGGTCACGACCCATTCATGATCATGTGACTAACATGATCAATCAAGCGACAAAGTTGAAATCAATGGGCATGGAGGTAACAAAATTCTTTCTAGTATAGTTCATTTTGAACTCACTCCTTCCTGAGTTTGGTCAGTTCCAGGTGAATTACAACACCATTAAGGATAAATGGAACATATAGGAAATTAAAGCCATGCTGGTTCAGGAGGAAGGGAGGTTGAAGAAGGTAAAAGAACATTTCGTCCATCTCACATTTCATGAAGAGGCTAGTAGTAGCAAGGCTAAGCTAGGTAAGAAGGACAATAAGGACAAGAAGGATAAGGCCTTATTAAAGGTTCGTGAAGGCCGAATCCAGAAGGGCCAGAGGTGCTCCTTCTACAAGAAGACTGGTCACTTCAAAAAAGGGATTGTCGAAGAGAAAAGTTTGATTCGAAAGAAAAGATATATATTATGTTTTAGTATGCTTTGAATCAAA